CCGATTGGTGTTAGATCACCTTTGGAAACCTGGAAGCACTGGACGGCCGTTTCGTCCTATTGTGGGACTCCTCAGAAGTGCGCACCCGGCTCTGTGGTCAACTAGGTTAGGCGTCCGCGCGCGAGACCGTAGGCCCTGAGTTCGAATCCCGCAAGCGGGATCGTGGATGTGCACTGCTGAGGAGTCCCACAATAGGACGAAACGGCCGTCCAGTGCTTCCAGGTTTCCAGAGGTGGCCTAACATCAATCGGTTCATGATCTCAATGAAAAAATTAATATTGTTGAAGTGAATTTTTTAATAATTTTTCATGATCTTAATCTTTAGATAATTGTATTCATAAAATATTTTTCAATAGTAATTTTGTAAAGAAATGGGTATAATTTACGAATAAAAATAGTAATTATAAATGCTCTTTACAGTGATACTAATTTAATTTACATATGAACAGAATAAACAATAGTGACTGAGACGTTATTATTTACAGGGAAAATGTATAAATTATTCATAATAAAGTAGATGTCATCGTATAATTGATATATGATACATCATATCCACCTATGACATGTTTTTTATTAACTGTCGGCTACACTGATGATAATAATACAGAGCTAAAAGACTAGACATATATTGCATCGGTCACTACTCACTGACCAATCAGTCATAAGTGTCCCAGTACTATATGAGGCCATTAGTGAACTGAGTAGCTTTGTGGTAATGTCTCAGACTGTTAACCTAGGTGGCATGGGTTCAAACTCACCAAGAGGCATCATTTCCCCCAAGATTACAGGTACACTTTGCTGACGTGTGCCAAGTAGTACCAAATCTAGGTCTAAGGTTTCCTATCGACTACCTCCAACCACCCAACTTCTCGACATAGTGGACATTGTAGTAAATCATTTAAAAAGGTGGCCCACATTGTGACTTCATCAATAAAATTCGACTAGCACTACATAAGGACCAGACAAACATGACATTGGTCACTACTAGATGATCAATCAATTGTACTGTCAAGTTATTTAGTTATTTATAGTTCTATTTCATTGTATTTTGAATACTACATTTTGTGAAGATACAAGAGTAATCAAACGATTTCAATCAAAATCAGCTGATTTCATCAATCAAATTCAGAACTAGTTAAAAATACTGATTGGTTATTTCGATTATTCATTAATAAAGTAATCACTTGTGGTTACTTTAGGTAATTTATAACTGATGAGTTGAAATGTTTTGTGTTATATGAGATTCCTGATTAAACTTTTAAAAAGAAATCTCTGTTAATATTGATACTGTACAGTTTGAAATTATTTACTTATGGAAATTTTTGATATAGGATTTAAAATTAAAGAATAGTCTATAAGTTTTGTTATAATCAATTGCACCAATCACTACGAAACCTGTGAATAAACATAAAGGAATCCCTTGTTTAGTAGTAAATAATTAAGTTTTTAGAAAAAGTCACATTCAATTATTGACAAATGTTACGTAGATATACGTAATATAGTGCAATAGATAGATATCTTCAACATGGAGCCTGGCACTGATTTATGTTAGCCTAAATTGCCATACCAGATTGTCACGATGAGATGAAACCAAGAGAAGAGATTAAAATAATATTGTAGAAATGACAAAAAAAGACTAAACTTTTTGCAGATGGTTTGAAGAGAGGATGGAAAAGTATATATGAAGAAATATCGTAATATAAGATCGAGAGAAATAAATGCATTTGGCCCATTGTCAACGATTCTGAGCCATATCACCCAAAGTTTCCAACCACTGATCGAGGTTATAATACGGAATCCAATCAAGTAGAGTCTCGATCTGCCAGCATAGCTCAAACCAACATTAAATGAGTTTGGTGCAATAATAGTTCTTATCAATAATTAGATGGTTGATAGTTTACATTGATTTTAGTTGTACGTTTTATCTTCGATTATCTGATGTTAACTGAAATATACTTAAAACTAATTGTTCTTAATTAGGAATACATTGAAGATTTAAGGCTTAAATGTTTTAAAACTTGCTTTCTAAGTATTTCATCACTGGAATTATCTTACTGGTTTCTAAAAAATTATAATTACATTCAATGAATTAGGAATTCTTAAACAAACATTATACTTTGCATCAATTTCAAACTTGAAATCAGAATAATATATTGATATATAATTGAGTGTAATCTTAGACACACATGTTTACTTTATGTGAACAATTTGAAAATCATCAAAAATATTTATAATTCGTCATCAATACTGAATACATTTCCAATGATTATTGATTTAACGCGTTAATTATCATTAATAATGAAGTGTTTATTTATTCATTTAATATTTTCCTTTATTATTATCGTTTACATTGATGATCTTTCACAGAAAAAATAACTATACTAGATTATTATCATTGATGATGATGATCCTTTATGGAAATGATTGTACTAGATTATTGATGAATCCTGTTTATATAGTTATTCATTGGTAACTTTAGCCAATTAATAATTACCTAAGGATAAGATATCGTTTGAATATATCTTACAATCGAAATAAAGACTAGTCCTATGAATATAGAATGGGGGCTCAAGTAATTGTATTACTCAAATGGATGAATTTAAGGTTTAGTTTCAGCTGATACACATTTCACCATGAGACGAGAAATGTTTTTATTCAGTCTCTCTAGAAAGTCTAGGATGTTAACTTTCTGTGAGTTCCTGTTTTTTTTCTTTAAGAATGGACTTATATTTCTCTGAGACAAGTACTTTGAAGGTCACTCGTATGTAACATCTTTATTTACGACGTTTCTATGCCTTTTTTTCACAGTCCGGAATTTCAGTACAATTTGTGTTTGAAGATAAAATGTTTATGCATATCAAGAGAATATGTTGATTAGTAGGTTGAATGGAGTCAGTAGTTGTTTTCCTTATTTCCCACTTTGTTACAGTACATTTTTGTAATAATTAAACTAAATTGAACCAGATACTAAACTTGGTAATTATTACTTATAGGAGGACGGTGTAAACAAACAAAAACTCACAATTACTGTTCTATGGGATATAGGACACCGAATCTTATAAATCTTTACACAGTCTCTTAAGTTCCTGATTAACTAAATAGCAGTTACTAATGTTTTTGTGTTCGATTGCCTTTTCGAAAATTAAATTACTTATTGTTTAGTTTATGCAGTTCCACTTAATTGATGAGTTTCATCTGAATTTGTTGACAGATTTCTTCATAATTTCAAGTTGACTTATATAAAAGGGGAGACTCCCTTCCATTTTATTCTCATTTCAAATTTTTAAGATTTTTAGTCTTGAAAAAAGATTTAATTTATTGGTTAAAATGAAACATTTCCTTATTGCTCGACTCTCATAAAATGCATTGTGATTATAATAGTGTCGCTAAATAGACCTATGCGATAGCGCTTGTGCTAGGATAAGAGCCCAGGCCTTTTAGTTTTTCTCATTAAATGGCGACATTTTTCCAATTCGAATTTCCGCAATGACCCTGACTATCATCTAATTGGCTTTTACTTTTATGAATATAGTGTTGTGGAGATTGTTGTTTTAATTTAGACCATGAAACAATCAATGTTAGACCACCTTTGGAAACCTGGAAGTACCAGACGACCGTTTCATCCTAGCATGGGACTCCATCTTCCATTGTCTTCTGTGGATATCTGCCAACTGTGTGACATGTCCCAAGGTCATTACATATTTCTGTTTAAACATATTTGTCTTATTTCAGTTCCTGACTTCCGTTCGGAATATAAAGCTGTACTGAAAATTCCGTCTTCTTTATTTTAAACTAACGTCGAAGTGTTGTCGTGTGACAGGCATGCAGTCTATTCGAGTTCGCATTCGTTTGCCTTCGTATTAGACGAATCCCAGTTGTCCTGTCATTAACAATTACCGTATACTCGTACCGAACACAATTTCAAGATACAAGTTTGTTTTGTTTCTTGAAATACATTACAATACAAAAAGAAATAAACTTAATCCTGTTTCTTTGACATAGCAATAGTCACAGCTTCGAAAGTTCTTATATTAGATTTAATGAAAAGTGAATAAGTACCCACAGGCTAAGTATTCAACGTGTGTGTGGAGTATCTTGTTTTTAGGTAAACCTTTTCTCATTTTTTTTAAATTTGGTAGATAAACTCTAACTGCTGTTGATTGCGATTGGACTGACATTTACCCCTAGTTTATATTGTCAAAGGTCTTAATTTACCTCCACATTTTACCGTTTTTTCACTGTGTTGGTTTGAATTGCGCATTGACTTGATCTGAAACATATCAAGACCTAGTGTTCACTGTTTTTATAACTGGTATATTTTTGGTCTGTGATCGTTTATTACACACTACTTGTTTCAAGTTACCACTGTTTCACTATCTAGTTTTAAAGTAATTCAGTAGTTGAACGCTCTTGAATGAATATGTACTATAGTATTTAACTGTACAATGTTCACAACGATAATCAAGATTACATTCTTCAAAATAATTTATAACTATTCATTATTGTATTCGTTTTATCGTGACGAGTCCCAAATCACTCATTATTTGCTGATTCTGGGATCGAGTAGCGAAAACAGAATGTTAGTCATTTATATGACTTCAGGATTGGAATCTGTCGACCGACTAGGACTTTCCGATTTTGGTTTTAGTTGATGGTGAGGCCTACTGGTTGGAGACGTTATCAAATGCGACAGCATAGAATTCAATAAACATCCAGCTATAATCTCCTACTACACTTTGCATAAAGATAAACTCTTCCTGTAAATCTTCCCTCGTATTTTTAACTAAGATGTGTCACATGCTAAGTACCATTTTCGATCATTTGTGCATTGATTCTAGAAGTATTCATTTCTTCATTACTTCACTGAAGTGTCGATTTTTTGGTGTCTGACTGTACTTTAAAATAAAATGGTCTTCAAATTTAAATCACTACATGTAAGAGTCCCATTTTTACTTTTCACTAATCTTATCCGAATTTCCTGTTCTAAATTTTTCAAACAGATCAATTGATGATCCTTTTACTCTTGTATATTCTTCACAAAACGGTTCATCTACAACCATGAACCATGACAAGGATGCCGCACTTATAAATGTAAGTGAAATATATTCATAAACTCTGAAACTAGGGAATATGAAAATAATAAGTAGACATTGTTCTGTCAGAGGCGTGAAGATGATAGGTCTAAATGACTAACCAACGCATTTATCATCTATATAATAGTCGAAAATCCTTTTTTGAAATAAAATATGCAGAATACTATTTGCTAAGTAGTGGAACCGTGGTAAATTACTTTTAACTACTAAGTTCCAGCCAGATCTTGGTCCTCACAGTGAACAAGTGCCTTTCGACTTTACACAGGTCTGATACGCGAACCGATTTGCTACAGCACTGTAAAGAACTATATTTCAATAGCCGTACTCATGTTTATGTGATTACTGTGTATAAGCTTTGACGCATAAACTGAGAATGCAATTGATGTTCCTTCATACTATCTAATATTCAATGAACGATTTCCTTACATTCCTTGTTTGATATTTTAAATCTAAGGTGAAGCGAAAGACTCGAAATTTTCACTTATAGGAAGCTGTTCATACGAACTGTGAGTACACTTAATATATATGCCCTATTTCACCGTAATCTTATAAGACAATATGTGGTGAAATAAAATTATTATCGACTGTGAAATGGCCAATGTTTGTTAAAATGAGGATGATTTACCTGGAGTTTATAGAAACTTAACAGCACGAAAATAACAGAAAACTAAACACAATGTTGTACCACTTCCTGGAAACTGTTCTGACCATCGTTAAATCTAACGTCATATCCTTGATGTCCATTTCGGACATCGTGACCCTTTAAGCTAATATGAGGGCTAGTGGTAATATTCAGCTCCCCAGATCTATCGAAGTTAAAATCTAGTTGCCGAATTTGAGTACTTAACCAATGTATCTGGACTGTATACTTTGATTCTCAGTGTTGGGTATCACTAAGTTAGGAACATTGTTCTTATGTGTTTAAATTTAATTGTTACTCTCTCGCTCAGTTTTTGTTAACGTAAACTGTTTGCACTTTTCAGTTTGAACCCATCTCTCCGACACGGGTCGCCCCACAAACGCCTTCAAGACAAATACCACCTCCGTTACCACCTCGTCTAAAAACTGAAGCAGAATAATTTCACAATCTAAACGCAGAAATTGGTTAATCCGATGACTAGCTTCTGGCTTATTTATTCAACAGTTAACATTAAGAGTTGTGAATCAACTTATCATTATTATCATTCCAATATTTTATATTTATAATTTAAGCTCATCTGATGATAGAATCGACTGTTTACTTATAATTATTCAACTAAAGTGGTATTTTTTTTAATACGAAACGGGTTGTAAAAATGAACTAAAAACACATATTTATATCATGAATAAATACATTTAAAACAAAGGACTGAACAAGGCGTTTTCATATGAGAATATTACAGTTAGCGCCGTCTTATAGATCTACTAGAACTTCTTGATGATGACCAACTACGACTAGAGTTCCTCCCACGACGTGTTCTCCTGTGACGACGTTTATGACGACGAGCACTCGAGCTATGAGATCGAGAGTCCCTGGAAAACGATCTGGAACGAGACCTAGACCAAGAACGATTACGACTCGGATAGCTGGTACGTGTGCCCCAATTTGTCGAAGCTCTTGTTGAAAACGAACGAGAACGTGATCTTGTATAATATGAACGACTAACTGGAGAGTAGCGTCCACGACTACCCCTACCCCTGCTTCTGGAGTCCGAAAAGTCACTCCTTTGCATTTTGCGTGCCGATGGGCTTATGGACCGACATCTTTTACGAGAACGCTTAGGTCGGCTGGAACTTCTTGAAGAGGATCCGGATGAGGAAGATGAAGAAGCAGAACTAGAACTGGATGAATGAGACCTTCCTCTGATTGCAGCTGGTTTTTTGACCTGAAAATAAGAAAAAACTTGTTTTATAATTCACAATTGGGTTAAAGTTAGGAAATTAATTGTCATTTACTAGGCTAATATACAGGAAAGAGTTAATGCAATATGTTCACTGAAATCACAAAAAGTAATATGAATCTTATTTATATACAAAAGTTGAACTATTATGTGACAACATTGTACAACGAAACTGAACCTCACTATATGACCAACAGTAATTTATTTTCTTAATATACTCGATATTGTATGACACCGAGTCAATCGGAAGTGTGATTCAAGATAAAAACTGCACTGTAGTAATTTTTCGGTTAATAATATTGCGAACCCTTTATCCATTCGTCTGAAAACAATCTACATATGACATTAATATATAAATAGAAATTGTGTTACATTATCACATCTCACAGAATTCCTTGAAGAACGTAACGCATCCTATAAGACAAGGAAGCGTGTGCTTTACAACAAAGCACGCTTTATGAAGTTTGACAAACTCGGTCGACTTTCAACTTTATTGCCCTAGGAAAAAGTCGTATGGTGCAATTCACTAGAAATCTTTCTATCGATATAAAACTTTGCATCACTTTGAGAATCCCTAAATAAACAATATTGAATCTTGGATTATTGAAAATTTTAATGAACGATAAACAGTTCTCAGTAAAAGACAGAAAGTTCATACGCACAGTATATTTTTCGGAGAATGAATTAAAGATTTTAGTTATATGAAAAGTATAACTATCCTGTCGAAAATAAAGATTAGAATTGTTGCCAGCAAAGTTGATGAGTATTTTGATAACTTACTTATCTGATATCTGTATCAAGTTTCTAAATAAATAAATATCAAAGCTATATTATCAATTTTGAACTATGTGAGACCTCAAACCAAAAATGGATAGGAGTTCTCGCCAATCTTACAAATTAAAACCCAGTAGCTGCAAAAAATATGGCATCTGTTTGTTACAGTGCGGTACTTTAATATGTGAAATACCAGTTTAAACCGTTAATTTCCAGGCTCGAACTCCGTGCCATCTACTTTGGTCTGAGCGGGTGAATAATGCTACAATCTCTTACAAATAAAAATATGGTTCAAATCCGAACATGAAGTACTGATTTTGTATATGGTTTACAATGGATGGGAATTAACGTGTTGCTTTAAGTATATGCAGAATATTACTTTTAACGTTTCAACACTAATATAATGTCTATCTCTGTACATGCAATTTAGAAAATACGGTTATCTAACAGGAAACGAAATCAATCATTTCACTTGAACTTTTTATAGAATTTGAACAGCCAATCGATTATTAATACAGAATAAGTGAACGCAACATAAACATACTTGATTTTTAGATATTGGAGGAACTTGGGGTTTGATCATAGTTGGCACGGTTGGGATTGACGAAGTTTCATTAGAAGCAGCAACTGAGTTTTCTAGTTTTTCCTTATTATCAATGACAGCAGCGGGAGAATTTTCATCTTTATTTAAATGTACTTCATTCTTAGAAGAATCCTCTTGTATTACACGAAGTCTCTGTAGAATTGAAATACTATTTGGACCTTGAGTTTTTGCAGTGGTTAATTTTTTCTCGTCTTTGTTTACAGACTCATTAAGTTCAACCTTATCGCCTGTTTCCCAATGTTTGTTAGTCCATGGACCTAGATGTGGATTTGTATTTTTCTCTAGGATTTGAGGAGAATTCTCCCACTTACTGGTTGTAACAGCATTCTTAAGAACGAAAATAGAAATAAGTAAAACTGTTAACTTGTGCTCAGTTGTTCAATTAAATCTTAAAAAAATATAAATATTTTGGATGTTTGTTGAGTACCTGAGAAATTTAATACACATGAAGTAACATAGTTTAACTGGAATCAATATCTGTATAATCAGGTGGTATTACAAATTGTGTTGAAACTGATTGTACATGGAATCACATAACACTATTTATAAAAGCCCCGATTAATAACGTTCCATTGTGATCCTGAGATAAAAAATTTAATTTACATATCTCCATATCCCACTGAGATGGATGATTAAAGTGCATCTTACAAATTCTGAACCCAAATAAGATTCACAGAAGCATCAGTTCTAGGAAAGGAAATATTTTGCAGAGAAAGTCTGGATAGGTTGTCATAATTCAATGAGACAATTTTCTCTAAAAATGTGTCGATTTAAAATCATTTCCAACGTTTAACAATTACTCTGCAGTAAAAGACAATTACATTTTTTTAAGAGAAATCCCCAGAAATGTAGCTTACTTCAGTGGATGGATCTTCTGTAACAATTTTCGTGGGTTTTCTGTGGGAAAAAAACGGAAGAAACGCGCTATCATTTATATATATAATCTTTTGATATAGTGGCAAACGTTTATTTGAATGCAACTATTTACATCCTTTACCATAAAAACTTTGGTGCTATAATAGAAACAAGAGTCAGATCGAAAACATGCTAAAAACATAAATGAATAAGAAAAGCGTAATATATTTGTAGCTTTTATCATTTTATGGTATTACATTTTGCAGTAAAGTGGACTAAAAGTTTTGTTACAACTGTGACTACGTTTTACGCCTCAAATGAGTGTATGTATGTAACAGATTATCCAATATAAAATAACGCACTGTTTAACTTGACTACTGTTTGAGGCAGCGAGAATTCGTTCGTTTGAGTCCTCTAGAAATAGATGGATTCAGTCATCATTTGTAATCCTTGCAGGACATGTAGTTTAGTTTACTGTTCTATTGCACTAATCAATGTGGAATCAGTTTACTGACAAATATACACCTACGAGAGTCTTGACTACTAAGAAATAGAAAGAGCGTAAGACCAAAAAGTAAAGGACTAATAGTTCTGTAGACATTTTTATCCGTGGTACTCGGCTGAGAATTTCGAATTCTTACTTGAGTGATCTCTTGAAAATTGCTTTACCCCTAAATAGAATTTACGCTTTACAAGGCAATGAAATAAAAGTTTGTCTACTTGAATGATAAACAATTTCTAGACAGTCAATTAAATAGCTGATCCGTTTTTTCAGAAATTCTGGTTAGCGCAATGATCTTTAGAAGAATGACATTGAGAATTATTTAGATGAGAGTATATTTCAATTGGTGAAATTTTAAAGTATAGTTGGGTCTTTATAATGGCAAAACGTTCGAACCACTGAAAGTCAATGATTTGAGATCTTAGAATAAGCATACTTAAGTCATCTGCAAGGTAGAGAAACTGAGACCCTGAGCGAATATGAAACAGCCAACGATGCTAGTACGCTATGAAGAGCTGCACCATCTAAGTTAACATTGAGGTTGTAGTTTCCCAAACTTTCCTAATGCATTTGTCATGATAACTTCAATAAAAGTATAATAACTGAGTTCTGAAACAACTTAGATTTTACCAATCTGGTAGCACTGGTCGACACAATTTCACCTTATTGACGTCGACTTTTCTTAAAATCTTCAAGGTAAAATTACATAATTATGAAACACTTTCGAAACTGATAGGGAAAATAAAACTTACTGTGTAGTCTGACTTTTCTTAGTTATTACTATGATAGGTTTACTTGGTGAAGTACCTCTGTGCTTCAACCCAAAACTTTTTGGAGGCGAGTGGCTATGTGATCTTGAACGCGATGTCTTTCTGTCGCGACTTGGACTTCTTCTTCGACTGCGAAGACTTTCTGCTTCAGGAGAACCACGTCTAATATTTAACTTCGTACGGCTATGTGTGTATGAGCCCGATTTAGAGCGTGAACTTGAAGATCGACTCCGTCGACGGCTTGGGATGGAACGTGATGGTGATCGAGAATGTATGTGGGTACTTCTTCCCGATAAATGACGTCTTTCGATGCCACGAAGACGATCTTCCGATGATCCAGACGGTGCATAAGCTGCTACAGACGGTGGTACGACGCGGCGCTTCTGGTTTAGCATTTCACGACGCATTTTCCACCTAAATAAACATTTATGTAAAATTAACATTAATCACACCAGACAATAAAACAAGGCTTGTTAACTGTTAGCATCAGGACACTAAAGATTGTGAGCCTTTAATGTAGCGTGTTGTCTGAACGATTACTATATGCAAATAGAACCGCAATTCACCACGCGAATTTATACATTTATTTATTTCAACACATAGATAATGATACAAAGAAGCACCAAATACATATGCGCCACACAAATCTCATTCGATATGTGTGAGGGCTGTGATACTGCCCGGGTGCCCAAACCGAATTTATACATCGAGCAAAACAAATCAGAATAGTCTTAAAACTTTGGAATTTATGAGCAATAAACCAATATGAAGCAAAAAATAGCACGTACTTCTCAACAAGATGAGGTGGAGGACTACGAGGGGTTCGTCGGCGTCGTTTTTTGGGGCTTGTTTGGGAGTGTGAACGAGAACAAGACCTAGAGCTGTCAGATTCACAACTAGAATTTGATCTAGAACCTAACGTAGAACTTCGGGAAGCAGAACGGGAGCCACGAGTCACTTTTAATTGTTTGTCTGAATGTGAGGGTGAGGGTTGTTTCCTAGGTTTTTCAGGTGACGGAATCTCCTCCAGTTTATGTAGGTCTGTTTCTTCTGAAAACACTTTACCCTGTTCTTTGTTATCTGGTTGTGGTGGTGTTGGTATTCTAGAGAGTTCATGAGAAACCTGAAAACAAAAAATGAACGTGTAACAGAACATTCGAATGAAGTGTCTACATTCAACTTTCTTACATGAAACCTTATATTGTAAACTTAGGCGATACTATATAATAATAATAATAATAATAATAATAATAATAATAATAATATAGTATAAGCATATTGTCATTCAAATAATAACAATTTTTCATGTTTTTTTATTGGTAGGAGTCATGTATTGCAGCCATTATGCAAAAACCATTAGTAGTTTATACTCTTCGCTTACATTTTGGAACCAAATTATGAGTTTTGGATGGTATCAGTCATAAACAAGTGATCATTTAGGTGTGGTAGAAGAGTAATCTTATTACAAACACAGTGCGACTGCGAAAAAACCGGTTGCAGATACTTGTCATAACTTGATAAAACCTAGAAATTATCAATGACTAACTAAATTAAAATGGATATAAATCGGCGAAAACCGTAATTTATTTATAATCAGTTTACTCCTCACTTGGTTTCGATTTGAGAGATCCGGAGGTGAAGATATGCGGGCATTCTCACAGGGTGGTGATGGCATCCGATTATTGGAACCGGAACCTGACAGAGGGGATGGGTAAGGGATACGAGATGGTGAAATTATAATAGGTTGGTCAATAGGAGCCTGATTTTCAAAAGATGTAGGAAGCTTCGGTGAAAGCATAAGAACAGGGGATTTAGATTGATATTTTTGCTGTTGACCAGAAGCACATGAATTAACTGGGGAGATAAGTATCTGTTGTGGGGATTTTAAATTTGGAGATCCAGAACACTTCCTAGGGGACTGATTGGCATGATACACTTTGGGCGAGTCACCTAAGTCTCTCTTGGATACGTCATTTGGCTGATAAAACAGAAAATAATCCAATTAAAACAATTTTCAAAAAAAAGATATTACACTGCAAAATAATGAATATATCCAAATGTTTAATATTAACATTATGACACCATAATTGCTCTTCAGTGTTTATTATTTGCTTACACTGGGATATGATAGTGCTAGATTGACAAGCATAAAAGAGAAAACAATACATATTTTAGGAATAAATCCGATCATAAATAGTAATTAATAGTAAAATCCCTATAGAGAATTAAGTCTTTACATAACTAGCTACGTGCAAAAGGAAATTCACAAATAGCTTGGATAGTTGTAGTTAAGTAAAGGTATAACACTGTGGAGACGTTTAACAATTAAATAAGTGCTTACCTTAATGGTCGAATATTCTGAAAATTTAGAGAGTTTTGGAGACTGTTCATGAGTAGTGGTCGGAAGAGTTTTAAACTTAGCATCTTCATCGATATCTACCATATATTCATCGTCTATTTCTGATAAACGTTGGTTTGCACGCCGGTCTTTACCAAATAAATCCTCAGACACGGACGTCTGACGTATATCTTCGGGAGATCTAACATAACGCCTGTCACTCGAATCATCGGGTTTACCCTCGAACTCGGTATAAAACTTTTTCGGTCCAATTGAGACCGGTGACAGATTATTTTGTGTTGGTGAGGAACCATTTTCCACTACCTTGGAATCATTTACTAATACTCGACTAAAATATATGCAAAACGAACATTTAAAAAATGATGAAACATTTCTGAAAAGCAATCGTAGTTGTTGACAATCACTAACTTCTAGACAACTTAGGACAGAATTCCCTATAAAACCAAGGAATAATGACCAGGTGGCAAACTATCCTCGCATAAATTGAGTGCATTAACTACTTCATACGTTAACGAATTTCAGTTGAGCAGAAGGCATTGTTCCAAACTGCAACAGAATACATACTTAGAATGTTAATACTGGATTTCAAAATAATAAAAAAAAACCGAACACCAATGAAATTTCTATGCTTAAACAACACTGAGTAAAAATTTATACATCATTAAGTCACTTGGTCGGTTGATGTGTAGTAATAAAAAGCATCATAAAATATAAAAACATCAGAAAACGGATAATGTTTAGGGAAACCAAACTGCATGAAGATGCATATCTGAAAAAGATACTTTTTACAAGTCTTAACTGTATAGTGTGACTTACTCATACCTGTTAATAAGAACACAACCAAGTATATAGACAAAACTAGTAAAAGTGTACTTAATGAAGAATTTCCGTGATAACATAATGTACGTTGCTTTAAAAAAAGATATTTGCAAGTGCTCAACAGAAAATGCAGGATTCGTCTAACTGGTAAGCAATAAATGTAAGGCAAAAAGTACAGATATTTGACAGTAATAACTGCTAGAATGAAACAGATCAACATGAATGTTTTCAACAATCTACGGAAGCATGAAGGGTTTTAGCACTAAAAAACCGTTATCAGGATCTTAACGAGGTAACCAAACATAGAACTCTATATTTGACAAAGCTGTGTTAAATGTTGCTAGCTGAGAAATCGAACTCAAGAATAAAAATAGGCAGTGTACTCAAACCGAAGTCAGGAAATGTTAAAAAACCTACTGATCTAGTGATGGTGAATGACTGGGAGAACGTTGTTTATGACCATCTCGTTGGTCCATTGAAAATCCTTTCTCGGGAGAATCAATATCTCTTAGACTACCAGAAACACCCGTGTTGGCTATAACAACAGATGATGGCGAAGCACTTGGGTTTCTATTACGACTAGCAGCTATAGATGGAGACAGCGGATCCTGCCTACTTCCACGTGATGAGCGGGATGACGATACCCTTCTCCTGAAAGGAAAATGGGATAAATGAATTTCATACTAAAATGACACATAATCGCTACAGAAAATGGGGACAATTTATCGGGATCAAATATGCATCTGATCTGATTCCATCTCGAGTTTCCAATAACAGTGACCAAACAACTCAGATTCTAAGTATGGGTTACGGAGATTGTTTGATTTAAATCAGTTCGCGATTTTAACGAAATCCAGATTCTAATGGAAAGTTGAACTTATCTTAAATGATCGCAGTCTATTGGTTCTGTTTGTCGGATTTGAATACACGAGGCTTATTTTTAACACCTGCTGTCCTTAAGAGTACACACTAGTAGACCTACTATTTTAAAAAGCATGAAGTACTAATGCACATACTGTAAGTTGTTTATTTGTTCGTGATTTCTTCGTTCACTCCATTGTTTCCATTCATCTTGATCTAATCTCTGGGTATGAGAACTTGCTTGGCGCCAGTGCGGTGGGGTGGTGCTGCGTCCAGGACTTCCTGAACGAGAATTTGGGCTCTGGTAACACTAAAATGTTATACAGATCACAATTAAGGAAAACATTAAAACAAAACTCCTAATCAATGAGTACTTATCGGAACTAAAAAATGCAGTTATATAGACATTACAGTCTGGGTACGTGACCAATAGGTCTCTGCAAAGACACAAGACAAAAAGATAGTGCTGGGATTGTGATGTAATTTAATTAGTGCCTTATAAGGATTAACTTTTAGTAACATTAATTAGATCAATAGAAACATTGTCATGGCAGTCTGATGAGACAGATATGACTTGATGTAAAAACTAGCGATAAGCATCTCGATATATTCACTCCTGATTTGGATGAAGTGTTAGCCATCATTTTTTTAAAACTATAACCCGTCTAACGAAGTCTCAGAATATCCTTAGCATTGTCGCTAAATACAAACTCGGTTTAAGAGTATTTCCGAAAAAAAACTAGCATAACGTGGATAGTAAAGTACGTTAGTCTCATCTATTAATTACGTACAACCTCAGCTAATCCGTCATGTGACACAGAATTTGGCATAAACGTGCATCTATTCATGTTTCAGTTTTATGAAATAACTGCAGACTCCATTTTATGACCTTATTATGTTGCTCAGTTGCCGAAATCTCGGTACTATAACCTAATATAAATATGTAGATTTGTAGTAGGATTTAAAACACTTCTGATGAAGGTGGAGTCAACTCTTATTCTGTAGCCCATTGACCTGAAGTAGTATCTAGTTCACTGAGGTAAAGCACTATAAACATTAATAAGTGAAGCGATCCTCCATAGTTCAATCATTAAAAATATAGCACTCAGCTACCTGATAAAAATGGATTCAGTACACTGACTGTTCACAGTAGTAACTAATTTCATATTTTCCCAGTGCTTAGTATTAGCAAAATAACTTCGATTGAGTTGCAATGTAGCCACTAGTCTAAGTGATTCAATATTGCGTGGAATGTTTTGGCGCTAGGTAGATGAATAGAAATTACTACGAAGTCCTAAACCCAAATAGCTTAGTAGTAACTTTCCTGATTGTGAAACTATATGACACGTTTCACTCAATATTATTGATACACTATGTTAACGAGTACTAACTAACACGAAACCCAGACCCGAAGGTTCCTGAAGAATGCCAACCACTACTTAATATTAGATTTAATTACTCAATGAACATCCAAGTTTAAGGTGTAAATAGCGAGTACAACTTACGATTCGTCCGCGCCCTTTGACTACTCGACCTGAACGATCCTCTTGGTACCGACTACGAGCACTTTCGCGGCCGTCTATATCGTGTCTGAAAAATAGAAAATTTTTTAGTTATGTGATGTTGGATAGTATCTACATCAAATAACCTTGTACAGTCCGACTAACAATGTGAAGACATATAGTTTACTTATTTTGGCAAATCAAAATTACTGAAGGAGTATGAAAACCTATTTACTGTGTACAGATTTGTGTACTAGTATTGGAGATGTGATTTGTGTGCGAGCTAAATGGACGAACAATAAACTAAGACACTATATGCATCAAAATTCAGTTTATCTTTCAAAACCTCAAAAGTATGTCTAAATGTAAGGTTGTTTCCAAAATCAACTGCACAAGCAAAAGTACAACTTTTGTTTAAACGTGCTTCAATGAGAATATTATGGTACTATCTACAACCATTTAAGCGTACGGAGTGGCTAACAAAATTGCTTCGGTACTCAAGTGGCCCGCAAGTTATTATCTATGACTGAATTGTGAAGGGATGGATAGTGGCCACATCTACAACTGAGTAAAAACAGTGAAATATAATCAGTATGGAAATACAATAGTAACAGGAGACCCACCTGGATTCAACTGAATAATTAGTGATGCGTGCTGAAATACTGTTGATCAAAAGTAATACAAAGCATTAGACTTAAGTCGCAAAAACAATTAATAGGGTTAATACTACAACTATGTTATGTCTAGAGGAAGGCACGTGTGTGAAATATTAACAAAAACAAAAGCAATATACAGTTCCATGACCTGTCTACTCATGACAGAAATATAATACTAGGGATACACATAATACCCTAAACATTGTGAAATAACGTTAGCACTACATTGCTTGAAACGAAGGTCGTCAAGATCCTAAAACCGTTGCGGCACCTGATTTTTGGGGACAGTATTTGATTACATATCAGTAGGGGGGACTTATGGCAAAAGACTCGTCAGAGATGATAGATATGGAGTAGACTACACATCACAAAAAGTAACGGTCAAAAATCAACATGCAAACACACTGTCGTCTTTAAATCTGTTTCTTGATCGATGATTTAGGAAACGTACCTTGACTTCACAGAATAAAGTTGATTTCCACTACATAAATTTTCGATTCAGATCGCTGACTGAATAGCCTAAAAGGCACAAGTGCATAAAACATCTAAGTCAGCTGTAACAATTAGCTAGTCGTAACCCAATATGTTAAGTAATCTACTCTCTATTGTCACAGTTAGCACTAACTTTAAAAATAAAAATGAGAGTTTATGACCAATACCTTGGACTAAGATTCATTTTCTTTTGATGTTCTAGCTGATCCTCTTCGTAGTTCCCACGATACAGAAATTTCGGTGGCGGTACTTCTGGTATTTCTTCTTTGCGGACACTGCATTCATTATCCATGCCACTTTCACTGAAGAATGTTTTTTACGAAAATCCTTTTACCTATCAGAAAACTCCTCACCTTCACTTAATTTCCGTTTTTTCTTCTTTGCCTTCTTGGCTTTTTTCGACTTCTTTTCCTCGCCTATTACCTTGCTTTTCTTAACTACATGTTTTCGTCACAAACTTTGGGGACTTACCTGGAATAAGTTCACCGCAAGACTCAATTACAATCGACTTTACTGGGCGGTGGGCTTTAGTGTCAGATATTGGAACAGCTTCGATCTTCCTGACAACATCCTCTCCTGATATAACATGTCCGAACACCACATGTTTTCCATTCAGGTGGGGAGCAGGAGCAGTCGTACTAAAACTACTTAGTAGTGATTGTTTAGCCTTACATGAAGAATTGAGAGCCATTAGTGTTAGGCCCTCTGTTTGCCATAGAAAGCAAAAACGGCCGGTCATGCTCGGTTGTAAGGCATTCATCTTAAAAAATCAAAGCTTACCAAATGTACTCTTACCAGCAAAAGTGCCACCGTATATTGATTCCCCTCCAGTTCCATCCTTATTACTGAAATCACCACCTTGTACCATAAAACCCTTTATAACTCGATGAAAGACGCTTCCTTGGTAAGTTAATGGCTTCCCTGTCTTCAGACCTAAGCCACAAACACCTAAACCGATCGGAAAGTGATACTAAAGAGTACCTTGACACAACTTTTTAAAATTCTCAGCAGCTTTTGGGCAGATATCATTGAACAATTCGAAAACTATACGACCAACTGCATAATATTAGTCGATTTCAAAAAACAAAATATACCTGGCTGCGAATCAATTTTTATATCTAAATAACAACGTGTCTTGAACTTATGCTTTCCCATTTTGACAACAACCTCGCCCACCAACAAACGAACAATAATGGCGTACGGCACTAGGTCATAAAAATAAGTGTATTAAAAGTGAGATCAATTTTTTCAAAAGCTGTATTGAAAATAGGTCGTAAAGTTTTCACTAATCGAAACACCAGTGAACAGTTCAGATTATCCGTGGTACAACATTTTTATATTCTCCTACCGAAAAAACTTCAAGGGCTATCCAATATCCCATACCCTCGGGACGAGCTCGTATATTCGATTGATTTCTTTGTTCTTGCTTCTCGTTGTCTCTGTGCGGTTCCAGGCATTTGTTCGTGTCAAATTGGTACCAGGATAGAATGATGGTCTTAAGATATGTATTAGGCACAGGTAGTTCGAGGGAGAGACGGTAATCCATGAATGAGTACGTGTTTGTCAAGTCTCCTTAAAATTGTCTTCTGAGGGGCTTGCGGTCACATCGGTTGGCAGAGCATTCCATACGAGGACAACTATTGATGGTAGAAAGTGGGGCATACCTGGGTTTTCACTCTTTAATGCGTAACTTCGAGAGTTGAGTCAAGGAATGTGATAGTGATGTCTCGGTGAGATGTTTGTGTCGGTGTGACTTGATGTACTCAACATACTGTATGTCACTGTCAGATTACCTCCTGTTCTCTCATAGCTCGGCGAGAACAGCCTCAGGTATTGGAATGTCTTCGTCAAATTTACTCGTTATTCCTGTCACATAGTTGTTCGTCTCTGTACTTGGTCAGAGAGATTCATGTATCTTTTGAACAGAGGGCGTGCGTTGACATTGTGAACATCAAGGTGTGATCTTGCCCATATCTCCAAAATACACTGGATACAGTTCCATTAATTTCATGATTGGCAGTTTTTCTTGCACCCAATACACTATGTCTTTCTTTATAATGAGCCAGTGAAAATCAATGTACTTCCCCCAACTTTTTTTCCTTGTATTACTGGTTTCGATTGAATTAAATAGCCAGTGGTTAGTACTAGTAACGGATCGAATCAGTAGGTGTTCAAACGTTGTTCATTTCAAATTAGTTTTGGTTAATCGTTTTTCATGGCACTGAACGGGACTCGAAAGCACTTTGGTTGGCAAGGTTCCACATTTGAGAATGACAGTTTGGTGTTTCGTCCACAGAGACAAAAATGAACAAATCACAGATACAAATTTTGGAAAGTTACTATCACCAAGTGCATGATGATTTATTTAGTCTCGAAGATAGGCCATGGCTTTGTCTATGTTATTTCAGAATTCTTGTCAATCAGTAAGTACCAAATACTAACAATTATTTGACAGTGAGACCTACGTCTTTGACTCCACTGGGTTTATTCACTTTCTGTTTATTGGATGTCCCTTCTATAGTTTGTGTTAAACTAAACTTATAGCTAGTGGTGCTTTCGTATTAGTGCACGCTTTTCAGAACTTTTTAGTCGATTCGTATACTATAAGACATAGTAAATCTGAGGATAAAACTCATGCTAGACGGTATTATCAGGGTGATATTTAGCTAAATAGTCTTCAGATAAAACAATAAAATGACCAGGAACAATGAGTTGTGACGAGCGAAGAAGTGCAATGGGTTTGAATAATGGACGGAAATTTGAGGCTAAAATCGAATATGTGCATTAAAGTCGGAAGTGTGTCAAAAAACAGTGAAGTGTTTGGAAGTGCTAACAATTTTGTCTCTTACTATTTTTCTCTTAGCAATTCTTTTTTCATAAAATGCTGGCCGATATGACATGACATAAAAGCCTGAGTTAGCGTGTTATAGGTTATCTTGGTAGGATGGCAAAGCCATCCTGATGGGAGAACTAAAAGCCAAAGTCGGAATGGACAATAATGGTTTTGAAGATATCATGGGACAAAATGAACAGACTGGGGGAAAGGAAGGAAAAAGATGACAGATTTGCAAATTAATATGCATTCAACAAAGTGGTCATATGCAGTACAATATCACCCCACAAACGCATACACAAAGCCACATGGGTCTCGGCGGATCGCACATGGAGAACTAAATCGATCATATTTACATCAGTAAAAGGTTCGGAAGGACAATGGAAGACATGAGAACAAGGAGAGGAGCTGACAGATCTTCAGATCACCATCTGGTTGTAGAAAAGTTGAAACTGAAGCTAAGAAGTCATTGGAAAACTAGAAACATAGCATTACAAAGATTCAAAACAACCTTCCTTCCACATAATGACAAACTCAACTAATTCAACATATCTCTCAACAAGTCTCGAGCCTCACAAGATCTACTTAAAGAGAAAACTAGTATGTAGGACAAGTGAAAATGGATCAAATAAGCACTAACCACAACGTGTCATGAAGTGCTGGGCATAGAGAAGCATCACCATAAGGAGTTGATCCTTATGGAAACCCTGGACCGGACCCAAGAAAAGTAAAGCAAGACGGCAACAATTAGCAACTGCTGAACATGAACATAGAAAGTTGTCACAAGCTGAACACACAGAAGCAAACAAGCAAGTGAAGAAAGGCATTGGAGCTGACAGGCAGAAATATGTGGAAGATCTCGCAACGACAACAGAGAAAGTTGTAAGAGAAGGAAATATGAAATAGATATATAACATGACAAAGGAACTTACAGGGAAATGTAGTAAACCAGAGAGACCGTTCAAGATCAAGGATGACAAGTTGATCTCTAAGATTCAAGAACGTAGGAACAGGTAGGCATTACACCTTGAGGCGGCTGGATGTCACTCCACCAACGACTGAATGAATCAGAATGACCATCAGACAAATCAACTGTGGAAAAGTATCATGACCTGACAATGTATAAGCTGAAACGCTAAAGTCAGACAGAAACAACTGAAAACATGCTCCATGTACTATTTAGGAAGATTTCTAAGGATAACCAAGTGGCACTGACTAACTGGAGTAAAGGATATCTCAAGATAGCGAATAAAGATGTGAGTGAATGTGAGAACTGAGCTACAGAGACATCACACTACTATTGGTACCAAGAAATGATTTCAACAGAGTATCGCTGAACCGGATGGAAGATTCAGTGTACGTTCATCTTCGAGATCAACAGACGGATTCTGTAAGGATTGACCGTCCACAGACCAAGTTGTAACACAACGATCACTGTTGAACAATCGACATTATGGTGTCCCTGAGAAGATCATCAACAGCATACGGGATTCATACGACGGACTATAATGCAAAGTCGTCCATGGGTAGCAAATGAGATTCATTACAACTGAGGACCAGATTCAGACAAGGCTGCATAATTTCCCCCTTCCTCTTTCTTCTTCTGGTCGATATCTGAGGAAAAGCACAAAATAAAGTGAACAGCTCGAACTTTGTAGACAGCCCAGTTCTTTTATACCATAAATAGCAATAAATGAAAGTGGACATAGCCGTTGTAGCGGCAGCCACTGTAACAGCAAGCCTCAACATACACGAAGGAAAAGTAAGACCCTCAACAACAACATAGAGAATACCGACCCAGTCACACTTGGTGGAGAAGTTCTGGGAGACGTGGAAACTTCCATGTACTTGGACAGCATCGGCGGCGAATAAGGATGGTCAAATACAGACATACATTTGAGTATTAGCAAACCAAGGACAGCACTCCTACAATTGAAAGACATAAACTCAAATATGTCTGCAAGCCAACATCAAAGTCAGAATCTTCAGTACGAATGTCAAGGCAGTTATTTGTACTGCACATGTCTGAAATTTCGAGAATGACCAAAACCACCATCGAAAAAGTATAAGTAGTTATAGGCGGTTTCCTGCGAAAGGTATTCAGTCTCCGTTGACCGGATACCATCAAAAACAGCCTTCTATGACAAAGGACAAACTCGCTTTCATCTGAATAGAAGAGTGAGAAGAAGTGTTGGTGATGGATGGCACATACATTAGGTAAATCACAAATTACATCACGAGTCAAGCCCCAACTCGCTTTGCCGATTTGAAAAGGAAAATTGGAAGACCATGGAACACTTTTCGTCAGTAATTAGGCATCAGAAGAATGAGTAAGAACTGGAAAAAACTGCAAAGGATTGTCAAGGACAGTTGGATAGAGAATGCTGGTTGGTGGCCCACGAGGTGTAGAAAGGGCATGTAAAGAAGCGAGTACGTGAGTAATGAGATAAAATTAATGGTTAGTCATTAAAATGCTCGCGAAAGTATGCAACTGATAAGAAACAGACAAAGAAGGACTCATAGTGAGTTGGTGTTAATGTTTCGTGATATCGCAATCGAGCGACAGTTTATGAGTTTTGTGGAAACAAGATAATCTCTGATGGAGTATGGTCAATTTGGTTTCAACATTTCTTGTATTTCCGTGATCAGGAGTTTCTGGAACACTGATCAGGTATTTGTATAGTAATAAATCGTACATCGACTGGATAAGGTTAATTCTATCTGATTTCTGTTAGAATTGTCACTATTGAAAGTATTGAAGTTTACATCGTGATTGTTAAAGTCAACACGTTTGCGTATTAAATTGTTTTCTAGCTAGTCAGCTTGTGAAGAAAGGAATATGTCTTGGGGTGGATAACCATGATTCACATCATCGGATTTCATATTGTAGGTAGAGTAACAATCTGTGAGCTAATGTGCAGTGTATCCGTTAATGAGTCTACTTAATGTTTAGGGCCAGACACACTTTCTAAAATGTTCTCTAAGTGATTGGTGTTTTTTGGTGAGCCGCGATAAGCAAAAAACTGTGTCGATTCAAAAAGGTTCATATCTAGTTTTATTTCAATTTATAGACGAAATACAGAATGATGAGAGGTCATGCCCAAGTGCTTAGCACAGGTCTAGTGTAGTTGAAGAAAGGTCAAAGAACCATGTGGCTTGATCGAGGTGTCCACGTAGCTTCATTTTATCCCCTTTAGTTATGGATTCTGATGTTTCGCGGACGCAGTGAGCATCAGAGGATACATGTTTATTTAGATGTCCTTGATCATTTGGAAGGGGTAATTATGAATAGGGTTTGTACTGATTGAACGGCGACCCTTAGAAACTAGCTTGGTCGATGATAATTGTTTGAAGGTAAGAGTAAGTACAATGTTCGTAAGTATTAAGGATATG